ATTTGCTAGATAACCTGTGTGCTTTTTCCACGCAGCGAATTTCCAGGAAGAAGGCCTCAAACATTCCCCTGGGCCCTGGCCCACCGAGGCCCCTCCAGTCCTGCCCTCTGCTCCTCCCAGGCTCGGGAGCAGCCACTGGTCTGGCGGGTTGGGCAGGCCCAGCCAGGAGGAAGCTGGGCTTGGTTCACCCTCCTCCTGGGAGCCTGGGCCCCAGTGGGATCTGCTTGATCTCCCTCCCCTGCTGCTCAGAACACACCCCAAGCTGGCTCGAGCCCCTTCACCCCACCCACCTCACCCACCTCGTTCCCGCCCCCAGAGGCTGAGGTCACTGGCTCCCCGGGCGCCCGGGTGGGGCTGTCAACACCTGCCGGTTGGAGGAGGAGGCAAGGCCCCTGGGGGCTGTTGTCTTAGCAATTGAGTAACTAGGGAGCTTGGCTCTGCCGGAACTGGTTCCCAGGCCAGGCCGGAACCTGTGGAGGCTGCAGCCCCCTGTGGCCTTGGGGGTTTGGGGTGGCAGGAAGTCCACCCCAGGGACCCTGGCTGGGTGGGGGTAGAGGGACATAGGTTTGTTCAGAGGGCTCCAGGGGCAGGAAAAGCACATTTCTTGTCCCGCAGAGCTCCTTCCCAAAGGTGAAATGGATGTGAGCCTATGGGGGTCCCTGCCTTGGGGTCAGGGTGTGGGGCCGCATGCTCACCAGCCCCTCCCTCCTCAGGTGTCTCTCAACGCATGGTTCTGGTCCACGGTCTTCCACACCAGGGACACTGACCTCACAGAGGTGAGCACTCCTCCAGCTCCCCCTCCTGCACAGGGTGGTTCCAGAGGAGCCCAGAAGCGGGCAGAGGGGCTCTAGAGGGTCATGCCAACTCCCTCTGAGGAGCACTGGGAGGAGTACAGGGCGGGCATCCTAAACCTGTTGGTGCCCTTGATCCTCATTGAGCCTCGTCAGGTGGGGATGAGTATTCACTCTTCTTGCCTGATGAGGCAGCTGAGCCTTTGAGAGGTGGACCACATGCTTAGGGGCACCCAACTAGTGAAGGGTTGCCACAGGACTTGACCCCATGGCTGTCAGACTCCACACTGTGCTCTGAATTCTATGCAGGGTTGTCGTGTCCTGGAGCCTCAGCATGAACCCTCCACCAGTATCCCTAAAGCTTTGTTCCTGAGCACATTTTTCAAAAATTGTACAGTGATGTGAACACAAGGCTCAGTTGGAGTGAAACAGTGATAGGCAGGCCCAGGACCCTGCCCTCCATGCCCCATCCCTGAGGGTCCTCTTGGAGCGAAACAGTGATAGGCAGGCCCAGGACCCCTGGCCTCCCTGCCCCATCCCCATGGGTCCTCTTTGTGAAGCCTCATGCTGGTCTCTCACCACCTTTCCCTGTCCTCAGAAAATGGACTACTTCTGTGCCTCCACCGTCATCCTACACTCAATCTATCTATGCTGTGTCAGGTAAGCCTGCTGGGGTGGCTGCAGGGGCAAAATCGAGCCCTGGGGGCAGAAAGGGGTCACCCAGCCCTCCCCTGGGGATGCTGCCCCAAGGGCCTTCTTCACTAGTCTCCCAACACCTTCCCACTCCCCACTTCTGCTGTCCTGGGTGAGGACTCGGGTAGGACTGGGGGCCCTGGCTCCTGACAAGGAGCTGTAGCACTTGGCCCCAGGCCTCTGGGAGGGTTGGAGGCCTGCCCAGCTGGCCTTTTTGGTGGGGAAAGGGGTAGTGGCTTCAGGGACCATGTACCGATGTTGAGGGGAGGAGATGCTTCAGGGAATGCTGCTCTGGGGATGGGCCACCCGCCCTCTGAGCAACCCTGGACGGTGGGGCAGGACTGTGGGGCTGCAGCACCCAGCTGTGGTCAGTGCCTTCCGAGCTCTCCTGCTGCTAATGCTGACCGTGCACGTCTCCTACCTGAGCCTCATCCGCTTCGACTATGGCTACAACCTGGTGGCCAACGTGGCTATTGGTGAGGCTCTGGGGGGCTTGGGCCATCTGCAGAAGTGCTAGCTTGGGGTGCGAGTGGGAGGTTGGTGCCATTCCTGGAGAAGGAGGTTCTAGAGAAACCCTTGGGGTAGAGGAATGGAGAAGAATTTGAGGTGGGAGAGAGAGGAGGCTGGGAGGAGAGTCCGAGGATGATCCGGGGGTCAGAGAGCATGTTGGGTGCGGCCTTGGGGAGAAGGAGCCGAAGGAATGAGTCTCTCCTGCCCCCACTGGCACCCAGGCCTGGTCAACGTGGTGTGGTGGCTGGCCTGGTGCCTGTGGAACCAGCAGCGGCTGCCTCACGTGCGCAAGTGCATGGTGGTGGTCTTGCTGCTGCAGGGGCTGTCCCTGCTCGAGCTGCTTGACTTCCCGCCGCTCTTCTGGGTCCTGGACGCCCACGCCATCTGGCACATCAGCACCATCCCTGTCCACGTCCTCTTTTTCAGGTGAGTGCTGCCCCCTGCCTGGTGCTCACCTTCTTTAGACCCTTCCTTGCCCATTCCGCAGGGGAGACTGGGGGCTCTGTGTGCCCATCCTCCCCTTCCCACCTTGACTGCACGCACCCCACCCTTGTCCCCACGCGAGCTCTCAGAGCCGTGTGCCTCAATGGGCTGCTCCTTCGGCCCACAGCTTTCTGGAAGATGACAGCCTGTACCTGCTGAAGGAATCAGAGGCCAAGTTCAAGCTGGACTGAAGACCTTGGGAGCGAGTCTGCCCCAGTGGGGATCCTGCCCCCGCCCTGCTGGCCTCCCTTCTCCCCTCAACCCTTGAGATGATTCATTTTCTCCTTTCAACTTCTTGAAATTGGATGTGAAGGATGTGGGCCCAGAATCATGTGGCCAGCCCACCCCCTGCTGGCCCTCACCAGCCTTGGAGCCTGTTCTAGGAAAGGCCTCCCAGCATCTGGGACTAGAGAATGGGCAGCCCCTCTGCCTCCTGGAGCTGAACTGGGGTGGAACTGAGTGTGTTCTTAGCTCTACCGGGAGGACAGCTGCCTGTTTCCTCCCCACCAGCTTCCTCCCCACGTCCCCCACTGCTTGGCTGGGTCCCAAAGCTGTCTGTCTACCTGGGAGACCGGGGACCACAGGCCTTAGGGGGATACAGGGAGTCGCCTTCTGTTACCAACCCCCACCCTCCTCCAGGACACCACTAGGTGGTGCTGGATGCTTGTTCTTTGGCCAGCCAAGGTTCAAGGCGATTCTCCCCACGGGATCTTGAGGAACCAAGCTACTGGGATTGGGTTTGGGAAGGGGTTTCACCCTGATCATTGCCCTAGCCAGGTTCCCAGGAGGCCTCACCACACTCCCTTTCCGGGCCAGGGCAAGGATCTCATGCTGCTGTCTGGTTGAGAGCCTGCCACCGTGTGTCGGCAGTGTGGGCCAGGCTGAGTGCAAAGGTGGCGGGGCGGTGAGCATGGGCCTGGGTGTGTGTGAGCTCAGGCCTAGGTGCGCAGTGTGGAGAGGGGTGTTGTGGGGGAAGAGGTGTAGTTTCAAAGTGTGTGTGTGCAGGGGGTGGGTGGGTTGGCGTGGGTTAGGGGAACATGCGTGTGAGCATGCTGGTGGGCGTGTGAGATGCGTGGCTGCCAGTGAATGTGTCCACAGTTGAGAGGTTGGAGCAGGATGAGGGAATCCTGTCACCATCAATAATCACTTGTGGAGCGCCAGTTCTGCCCAAGGCCCCACCCGGGCGGACAGCCAGGACCTCTCCATGGCCAGGCTGCCTGTGTGTGTGTTCCCTGTCTGGTGCCCCTTTGCCAGCCCCCTGCAAACCTCACAGGGCCCCCACACAACAGTGCCCTCCAGAAGCAGCCCTTCAGGAACAGAGGAAGGAAAATGGGGATGTCCGGGGCTCTTTCCAGCCTCCTTTTCTCCTTGCCTTGGCATGGCTGGCCTTCCCCTCCAAAACACCCATTTCCTTGCTGCCAGCCCCTTTGCCATAGCCTGACTTTGGGGAGGGGGAAGGGGCGATTTGAGGGAGACGGGGAGAAAGCTTATGGCTGGGTCTGGTTTCTTTCCTCCCCAAAGGGTCTTACTGTTCCAGGGTGGCCTCAGGGCGGGCAGGGGCCACACTGTGCCTGCACTCTGGTAAAGGTGACCCCTGCCATTTACCAGCAGCCTTGGCATGTTCCTGCCCCACAGGGATAGAATGGAGGGAGCTCCAGAAGTTTTCCGTCCCAAAGGCAGTCTCCGTGGTTGAAGCAGACTGGATTTTTGCTCTGCCCCTGACCCCTTGTCCCTCTTTGAGGGAGGGGAGCTATGCTAGGACTCCAACCTCAGGGACTCGGGTGGCCTGTGCTAGCTTCTTTTGATACTGAGAACTGTTTTAAGGTGGGAGGGTGGCAAGGGACGTGCTTAATAAATCAATTCTCAGCTCACCTGCCCTTGTTCAGCTCATTTGCGTGAATAGGGTGGGCTGGAGGGCAGGAGAAGACAGTTGTGGCGGCAGGGGCAGGTCCCAGAGCTGGCTGGAGGCAGTAAACAGAGGTGGGGTCTCTGTCTGGGAACATGGGCGTGGGCGTGGGGAATAGCAGGGCCCAGAGGCAGAGCTGGGCAGAGCTCAAGTCCAGTTGTGAGAGGGAGCCAGAGCCAGTTCTTTCCCTTTCTCTTCCCTGGGCCATTGTGCTTCAATCATAACACCCCCACTTCCCCACCACCTTGCAGATTCTACTTCCATCTCCTCATGATCCCCACTCTTCCCCATTCTGGTCTGAACCAGGCTGCACTGTTTGTGACTTCACCTCTCTGAGCTTCACCTGGAAACAGACTAGCAGAACCTGCTGCTGAATGCACGAATGAATGATGCGATGGACAGAAGGGCATATCACAAGTGCCTGGTGCACTGCAGGTGCCCAGTGAGCTTCCCCTGACCTTGGCCTTTCTTAGTTTGGGAAGAATGAGTGGTACAGAATGCTAGCCTCAAGGAAACTTCTGGAAAAAAAGAAAGCCTAGGGTGAATGTCTCCCCTACCCTGACACTCAAATCTCTGGGCCCTTGCTGCTTCCCAAGAGAGCCACAGACAGCACTGACCGCAGTGGCAGGGTATTCTTTCTTTATTAGGTGCCACTTCAAAGAACAGGGAATCCAGGTGGGTAGGGGCCACAGGGCACCAGGTACGCTGGCCCCTCACAGTCCAACCTTCTGAGCCCAGGCGAAGAAGATGCCCTTGACATCATCTACACCTGTCTGAAGGTGGGCAGGCATGATGTAGGTGCGGAGGTCCCGGACCTCGTAGCCACTACGCACCAGGGCCTCCCTCACCTCCTCCTCAGACACTGGCACCACCATCAGCCTGGCCTCCCCAGCCAGGTACCACGACTCCTCCAGGGCCCCGATGAGGAGGAGGTGCCCTCCAGGCCTCAGCAGCGTGGTGATGTGGTCCAGGGCCCGCTGGAAGCTGGCAAGATCTGGGCTCACAGCCTCCAAGCAGAAGGCAGAGACCAGGGTGTCGGCAGGCAGGGGCGCTGGGCTCCCAGTACCCAGGGGCTGGGGCTGGTGCACGTCGATGGGCAGGACCCGCTTCACCCTGGCTCGCAGCTGGCGCTCCTTCTCCTGCCAGGATTCCCTGTGCAGGGGGCACAAGGCAGGGCTCAAGGCTGTTCTACACTCAGACCTCTGTTGCCCCCACCAGCCACTCTATGGGAAGCCCCCTCCCCAGCCCTCACTCCCCAGTCCTTACCCCTTGCCCTCGATGAGGCAGGCATACTGGCTGTACATGCTCCAGTTGAAGGCTCCTGGCTCCTCCCGCAGCCAGCGCCCCAGCTCCTGGCGGTTGACCTCCAGGAAATCTGTCATGGTAATGTCTTCAAAGTGGCTGCAGGCGCTGAGCAGCTGGTACACGGTGGGGCCTGAACCAATGTCGATGAGGGTGCGTCCGGACACTTCACCTGGGCAGGGCAGAGGAAAAGGGTCCTGGTGCCAGGCCGGCCCAGGCAGCCCCTGCCTCCTCACCCCTCCCTCCCCTGCATTTCCCTGCTTCTCTCTAGTTCTTCCTTCTCCTCTGCAAGTGTGTCTCCATCTGGAAAAAGCATTGGCCCCAGAGTTAGACTGAACCCAGCTCCAACGTGGACTGACTTCCCTTGGGAAGGGAACTTCACAGCTCTGAGACTCAGGTTTCACATCTAGAAAACTATACCTACTGGCCAGGCACAGTGGCTCACACCTGTAATCCCAGCACATTCGGAGGCCGAGGCAGGTGGATCACGAGGTCAGGAGTTCGAGACCAGCCTGACCAACATGGTGAATCCCTGTCTACTAAAAAAATACAAAATTAGCTGGGTGTGGTGGTGCATGCCTGTAATTCTAGCTACTTGGGAGGCTGAGGCAGGAGAATTGCTTGAACCCGGTAGGTAGAAGTTGCAGGGAGCTGAGATCCGGCCACTGCACTCCAGCCTGGGGGACAAGAGCAAAACTCCGTCTCAAAAATAAAAATAAAGATAGGCTGGGCACAGTGGCTCACGCCTGTAATCCCAGCACTTTTGGAGGCCGAGGCGGGTGGATCACCTGAGATTGGGGGTTCGAGATCGGCCTGACCAACATGGAGAAACCCCGTCTCTACTAAAAGTACAAATAAATTAGCCAGGCATAGGGATGCATGCCTGTAATCCCAGCTACCCCGGAGGCTGAGGCAAGAGAATCGCTTGAACCCGCGAGGTGGAGGTTGCAGTGAGCCGAGATGGCGCCATTGCCCTCCAGCCTGGGCAATAAGAGCGAAACTCCGTCTCGAAATAAATAAATAAATAAATAAATAAATAAATAAATAAATATAAAGAAAACTATACTTACCAGCCAGGCTCAGGGAGGAAATTCTGGCGGTTTCTCGCCCCGTCCCACATCTGCCTCTATTTCCTCCTCTGCATCTCCACTTCAGTCTGTCCTGCATCCCCTACCTTAGCTCTCAATTCTGAGCACTCTCCGCTCCCTCTCTCCACCTCTCTCACCTCTGCCCCTCTCCTAAGGGATGCTGCTCCTTTTTCTCTTCTGTTTGCACCTCTCAGCTATCTCTTTCTTGGTCCCCATCTGTCAGGCGCCTGGTCTGTCTCCTATTCCTTCTTTCTATCTCCCCGCGCCTGCTTTCACTCCCCGACGACCTCTTGTCCCTCGTGTCTCCGTTTCCCCCGCTCACCGGTGGCGAAGGTCTGTGCCAAGCAGCGCAGCTTCCACGGCCCGACGCCGTTCGGGTTGCACAGGTCCCCGCGAGGGGGCGCGTAGTTGTTGCGGAGGTAGGCGCGCGGCTCGAAGCGCTGGTAGGCCGAGGCCACCGCCGCCCGACCCGAGGCCGAGTCAGGGGCTGCGCCCGCAGCGGGGATCCGGTCTGCGCCGCTCATGCTGCTGCCGCTGTCCGCCCGGTGCCCCGCTCGCCTCGCGGCCCCTTTTTCTACCGCCCGACCCCCTCCCCGACCAGTCTGCTGTGGGGGCGGCAGCTGAGCGCAGAGCCGCCCGGGGCCACGTGCGCCGCATCCTCCCCACCCCATCCATCCATCTCCCTTAGTGTCCGGGCTGCAGACGCACCGGAGGTGAGGGGGGCGGCGGCGGCTGCAGCGGCAATCGGCCCCCGCACACCCCTCTCCGCACTTGCTCCCGCAGCCCTCACCCTCCGCCTCGCCTGCCCCCCTCCGAGTACCGCCTCTGCGCCCCCCTCCACCCTCAGTTCCTCACCCCCACAAGCTTTAGACCCCCTCACCCCAGCCGGCCCACCCCTCCCGTCCCTATTCTCCAGCCCCCCCGCAGTCATTCACCTCTTTTGACCCGCAGCCCGCCCCTTCTCTTTCCTGATTCGAGGGGGAGACTGGGGTATTAGGCCCTTTCCCCAGTTTCCCCCTCGCAGCGCCCTCCTCGACGAGGCCCCAGACCCCACCAGGCTTCCCTCCCTCCCGGACACCCGTCCCAGCACCCACCCTTCCCTTAGAACTGCCACCCAACTCCCCTTCCCCGCCCCTCCTCCAGGCCTCTCTTGTCCTTTCCTATGCCACCGGGCCCTCCAGCTCTCCCCCGCGCCACCCCGCCCCAGAAAGGACAGTCCGTTCCGGGGGCCCCAGAGCAGGGCGCGGCACCGCCCGTCCGATGGCAGGCGCGATAAGGGAGGTGAGCTGTGCTAATGCACTTAGCGGGCGGAACAGCCGGGCCTCCCCTGCGGGCCCCGCGGGTTCCCAGCCGCTTATCTGGGGGGCTGCCGAGGACGGAAAGTTCGAGTTCGGGTTGTTCCCACCACGTCGGGAGCACCGGACCCAGGTGAGGGCAGAGGGTTTGAGCGGAGGAGAGGCAGGACGCATTCGCCGAGGACCGCTAGGGCCACCAGGGGGCGCAGTCCGGGCCTTGGGGCCCAGCCGATTTGGGGTCCTGCGGATGCAGGGGCTCTGACCCCTCTCCTCTCGCAGCCCACACTCCAGCTTTGCTCCAAAGAAGCGGCCAGGTCAGGCCTGCAGGTTCTGCTCAGCGCCCCAGGTCCTGGCTGTCAAAATGCCAGGGAGTCCCCACCTATCTCCCGGATGGGAAGCCAATTCTGCCTGTGGCATCTCCGTGGTATCCCTGAAGACCCCTTCCTTCCCCTATGGATGAGTCCGGGACCCTTCTGCCCTGGGTAGGCCACCAGCCCAGCTCCTGCCACCGTGGGTTCCTGGACCCGCTTGATGCGGGCCTCGTCCATGTCCTCCCCTCCCGCTTGTCCCCAGGGGAAAGTCTCCTTGGGAGAGGCAGCCAGGTTGGGACATGAGTCACCACAACAGCTGCAGGGGTCACAGAGAGGAACCTGACCCCTAGCACCTCCAACCTTCCCTGGCTTCCAGGGCAGGGAGGGTGGGTCGAGACACAGCCGAGGATTGATTCTGCTTGGATTCAGAACTGAGAGGCAGGTTAGCTTTGAGGTCACTGACCCTCTTCACACCCTGAGGCAAAGCCAAGGACAGTCCTGGCACCAGCCCCTCTATATTCTCCACGAGACATCGTTGAAACAAACTCTGGATGCCAGCTGGCTTGCTGGGTACCACCCAGTGCCAGGGGGCTGAACACAGAAGCCAGGACTGGACATGGGTCAGGGTACGGGAAGGAGACTGGAGACAGCACTCTGTTTATAGTTCTGTCCTGGCCTCCCCACCCCAAGTATGGGGCATACTCATTAGCTCTGCCATATTTAGCTCAGATGCAGAGCCTGGTCCCAGAAGTGGGCACTGGGGGGACACCCATGGGCCAGCCCCGACAACCACAAGGAAAGAGACGCACCTCTGGCACATGATTGAGCATTTATTGCGGCACTAACAGAAGGTGCTGGGGGCCCCACCATCCTTGCCTCTGCCCTCTTCACCTCCCCCTCTCTCCCAGCTTCTTCTGCCTAGAGCATTCCAGATTCCCCTCACATTTTCCTGGATCAGGGCCACTCCTCCCAGGCACCTCTTGCCCTCACCAGTATCTTTTGTCCCTTCTCCTGGGGCTGAGGGTCCTCAGCTGTGCTGGCCCCCAACTCTCCACCCTTAGTGCCCACCGTCTCTGCCACCCTCCCTTTGGGAACTCAGGGGGCTCAGGCATCCTGGCCTCTGGCTCCCTCCTCCCCTAACCCCCAACTCTGGGCAAACTACAAAGCAGCCATGGCCAGCAGCTCCCCTCCACAGTCCTAGCCAGGAAGGGCCCAGCCCAGGGCGGGCACAGCGGAGCCCAAGTCACAGTCCCTCTCAGCCTCTCTGTGCTTCCTGGGACATGGAGCGGGACAGGGAGCGACGAAGGGCACCGGGCTTGCTGACAGGCACCACAGGGGGCAGCTGCTTGGTGATCTCAGCCACCTCCTGGCGGTCCACACACTGGCCACCCAGGGCTGTCTCCAGCGCTAGCAGCTCCTGCAGCTGGATGGGGGTGTCCTCGCGCTCCTCCTTGGTGGCGCCCATCTTGGCAGGGGTGAAGATGGGCAGTGGCAGTACCCGCTGGTAGGGCAGCTGGTACTCCTGCAGCCCACGGCCGAGGATGCCCATCCGCATCACCAGCCAGGGCGAGCGCTGCACCAGCGCCTGGCACTGCCCCTGCTGGTGGTAGGTCTCATGTCTCTGGGTGTCCTCCTCATGCAGGGAGCAGCTAGGGAGAGGGGAGGGGCAGTGAGTTCTTGGGAGCTGTTGCTCTCCGGGAACAGGCTGGGTGGGGGGCTCCCCAGGGCTGCTGGGACCTGGGAGCGGGAGGGGTGGTTCCCCTTTGCTCTTCCCATGGGGCATTCTTCCTTCCCCCACCCCCAGAAATTTCTCCAGGGCTTCATGCTCTGGCCTCAGGGCTCAGTGAGGGTGCTTTGGAGGAGCAGAGGCAGGACTCTGGCAGACCCACACTCACCCCTCCTCAGGCCGTGTGGACAGTGTCAGATCCTTCCATTCTGCCCAGAAGGCCTCCCGGCGCTCACAGTTCTCCTCGGACACCTCGCAGCTCAGCTCTGAGGTAGCCATGATCACTCCTCACTCCCTCTCCCCTCCCAGGCCCTTTAAATAGCCCCCTCCTCCCCCTTCTCCAGGGGCTATTTTCGGCCCCTCTGGTGTCAGATGCTATAAGCAGAGCCAAGACTCACTAATGGGGGGACGCCGGACCCAGGGCAGGGGTTAGGGTACCTGGACGCTGGCTGCTCCCTGGTCAGAGGTCTGGGGTTCAGGGCCCTATGCCTCCAGGTGCCTGACATTACTCAGACACCGTCTCAGGCCAGCCACATGCCCAGCCTCGTGCCCCCCTGGCACTTGCCCTCTGCCCCACCCACTCCCCTTTGCAGGGAGGACAGCAGCTTGTCTGTAAACAGAACAGGACCAGCAGGAACTGATGCCCCCTCTGGGCTCTGTACCAGGGCTGCCAGGTCCTGCCCTGGCTGTGCTCTCCTCTGCCTGGGCTCAAGGGCACATCCCCAGAAGGGACAGTGCAACCACGTCCTCAGGCGCCTGCACCGAAGGCCTAGTGCCTCGTCCCCAGTCACCCTCACCACACCAGCAGGGGCAGAGGAAGTCAATTCCATACCTGGGAACCTGGGGCATAAGCTTTGGTCAAGTGTTTTCCTTCCCCACAGCTGGTGGTCAGATAAGTGGTCTTAGGAGACAGGACAGTAGGGGTGGAGGGGGCCTCCAGTTCTACCCCAACACCCTGTGTTGGGTGAAATGGAAATCCAGGGGCTCTGATGGATGACAGAAGGCCTGGCTCCAGCTCCAGATCAGCCATAAATAGCCTGTGTGACCATGTGTCAGTTCCTGCCCCTCTCTGGGCCCCTTTCCCCACTTTCTGGCCACTACAAGAGGACCAGAAGACCTCTGGAGCCTGCCAGCTCTGATGTGCTACCTGGGAGGGGACTGGCTCTCCTTCATGGGGAGCAGGGGAGACAGATGGCTGTGGGGACAGTCCAGCACCCCAGGAGTGGCAACTCATGGTCCAAGAAGCTGGCACACAGGTGGTAGGCGTGGGGGGATGAGTGAGAACATTGCCGAGTGGACAAAGCAAAGGGCAGCAGGAGAGGCAGTGACAGGGGCTGAGCTCAGGACCCCGTGGGGACAGCAGAGTACCCAGGAGCAGGTAAGGCCCATGGGCACCCACCTGGGTGCAGAATTGCAGACTACTGATTACTGAGCACTGTGCCCGGTTCTTCGTATCTTTTAATCTCGTAACAACCCTGTGACATCAGTCACATTTTCATAAAGTAGGAAGCAGAAGCTGAGAGAGGTAGATTCGCCCAGGGTCACACACCTAGGCAGGACCAAGACAGGATCCACCTGGCTCTGAAGAAGCTGGCTCTGCTGGAAGCCTGCGTGCAGGCAGGCAAGGGGGCAAGCCAGCCAGGAGGGAGGAGGAGGGCAGTGGCCTGGCCCCGCCCTGCGATCCCGGCTCCAGGCTGCCCCTGGTGTGAGTGCGGTGGGGGGAGAGGCAATGGGTAAGTGGAGTCTGGGAGGTCCGGGGCTCCAGGTGGCTGGGATCCCAGAGATGCCTCAGTGACCCTGAAGCTCAGGCCCCACCTTCAGGCCACACAGTCAAGGCTTGCTGTGAGCACTGCCAGGTGCCCATACCCCCACCTCCATTCCTGGACTAGAGACTTTAACTTGCCTAGCTGAGGCCTGGCAGGGGGCGGGGCACTTTTTCTGACCAGTCATCTGCTCAGTTGAACAGGTCAGGAAAGGGGGGGCATGTTCCAGGAACTGGCTCCCCAGGCTCCGCCCTCCTGTGAGCCCAGGAGAGGTTGTGTGAGGGGTCTCCCTCTTCATCCAAGCTGCTGCCTGCCTTCCTCTTCCCTCAAGAGGCAAGGCAGCGGGAGGGGCTGGAATTTTTTTTTTTTTTTTGAGTCCATATTTTTAATTGGCTTAAATTACAAAGGTCCCCCAGGAGGCCCTGGGAGGAGGGGGACAGCCTGGGAGAGGCAGAGATTCATGGCCAGCAGCCCACTCCCACCTGCCACCCACTCCCCAACAAGGGTCCCAGACTCTTTCAATAATCCTAAAAAAACCCACGAGAGCGCAGGCAGATGAAGAACCCCTTCATCTTCACACGGGTGACAGCCTAGCCTGCCCTGCCCTGCCCCCGCGCTGGCCCTCCCCAGCCAAGTCAGGCGCCCAGCCCAGACCCTGCCCTGGCAAGGCAGGGGACAGCAATCTGCTCCTCCAGGAGGCAGGGCACCATGTAAACATCAGCAGGCCAGACCCCACTTTCTCCAGCCAGGGGAGCCCCAGAGTTCAGTGCTCCACCCCACAGCCTGCTCAGACAGTCGACTCCAGGCACTGCATGGCTCAGTGGAGGGTGACAGCCTGGGGCCGGGTCCTATGTGGGCAGTGGAAGCCCAACTGGCCCCCTTTCTGGCTCTGGAAGTGGTGGCGACAGGACCCTGGCCCGCAGGGTGGGTGGGGCACAGTCACGCCCTAGCCCCCAGTTCGCTGATGCGCTGTCGCAGGTGAAAGGCAAATTCAAACATGGTGGCCGCGAGGCTCTGGTGGATGAGGTACCGGGGCAGGCGGCCCTGGGGGAAGGCAGGCAGAAGTCACTTGACGGCCTGCCCTCAGCAGGGTCTCCCCTTGCAGCTGGCACCAGCAGGGGGGCTCTGGGTCAGAATGCAGGTGCAGCTCTGGAATCCAGCCTGGGCCGCCCTCTCCCACTCACCCCTGGCGGGAAGAACATGCTGGGCCTGGCTCTTGGCACCAGCCACACAAACAGACCAGGGTGGGGCTGAGCTGGCCGCCAGCCACCCCTCCTCAGGGCCTCAGGACTCAGAGGTAAGAAGTGGGGGCACATGCCCTACAGCAATCCAGGGCTAAGAGACCATCTGGACCCTGACCCGAGTTTTCAAGTAAGAAAGGAGCTGACACAGGGGAGGCCCAGGCGTGGCAGAGAGCTCCCAAGGTCACGCAGCAACCAAGGCAGCAGCAGGGTCCCCTCTACTCCACGGAACCCACCTGGCAGCCCCCCAGCACCCCACCTTGAGATCTGTATTAAGAATCCAGACAAAGGTGCAGACACAGGGGTTACTGGCCGACTTGAGCACGACGAAGCCCCCGGGGCCATTCTCTCCCCTATGGAAAGAGGCGTCATTGGGGGGACTTTTGGAACAGAGTGAGGCCCTGACACCCCCCAGCAGCCCCCACCACTCACCCTCCATTCTTGGCCCAGCTGGGACTGGGCTGGAAGCAGAAAGGCAGAGCTACCCTGTCTGAACAAGGCTTAGCACAGGTGTCCCAGGGGCTGAGAATCGGCCCTCCACCCCCACTCACTCTGTGATGCTTGAATCCTCCAACAGCCTGTTAGTGCTTGCACACCCCCAGGGGCAGGGAGCTCACCACCTTCCCAGCCCTCATCCACTCTGTCTACAGATTCCAGGTCAGCCCTGCTATGGCAGAGTAGGCTGGGCTGGCACTTCTTACCCCTTCCCTTTCAGGAGGGGACACCTGCTCAGGAGGGGACTAAGCCTGGGAGGCACAGTTCACATCCCATCACCATTTCATTCTCCCTCAGCTCCACTAAGCATGCCTGAGCCCACTCCGCAGATAAGGAAGTTGGTATCCAGAGAGGAAGTAAGCTTGCCCTGCACCCAGCAAGTCTGTCCAGTGCCCAAAGCAGAGCCTGGCACCCTATCCAAAGAACAGTGCTCCTGCTGGAACCCAGGAGGAGATGGGGAAGAGTGGGGTCTATGGGAGGGGGCCACCCACAGCACCACAGCCTAAGACTAGACAAAAGGGAAGACTTCAGAAGCCCAGGCACAGATGCGGGAAGACCATAATCCCTTTATCTTTGGGGGACTCCTGAGCCACTCCAAAGAAAGGTGAGGGAGTGAGGACAGGGTGAGGGGGACGAAAGGGGACCCAAGTCTCCTTAGGCAGGAAGATGAAACCCAGAGCATAGAGCGTCCTGCTCAGGTCAATCAGCCCAGGGTGAGCACATGACTCTCAGGCCCCTTCCCTGCACGGGTCCCCATCCATGGCCAGCCACCGCTGCATGTCCCCTCCACCCCTCCAGGTGGCTTGGTTCCAGCTGTCCACCACCCCCCACCTCCACAGACAGAGCAGCAAGATTAGCAGGATTAGTGGCCGGGAGGAGCAGAGCCCAGCGGGACAGGAAACAGGAACGCAGCCTCAGCAGGGGAAGTGCCCAGCTGTACATGCTGTACCCTGCGCTGCTCAATGCTCCCAGGGGAGGGGCTGGCAGGGGTGACCCCAGGCAAAGTGAGGCTCACCGGACATATTTGTGCGTCAGGGGCTTGGCACTGTGTGCGGTGGCGATCCCTGATGACAAGTATCGGTCCCTGCGCCGCTCAATGCGCCGGACATTCACAAAGTCCCTGCGGGAGGGAGGGTTAGTTCAGGGGACAATGACCCAAGGCCAAAGTGCAGAAGGCCTGGCTGAGAGGAGGGGGCCCGGCAGGGACTCACCTTGGGGAGACCATGCCGCCCGCAGCCCCTGCAGACACGTCATAGGAGATGAGGGTGTTGTCTTCCACTCGCTGCAGGATCTGAGGGCCATCAACGGAGACTTTTGGAACAGGTGGCCCCAGGAAAACCCCAGGGATGGGAACTCCCCAGGCCAGCCTCCTCTGCCCGGGCCCTTTACTAAGAGCTATCGCCATCCGCAGGCCCTGGGCAGCACCTGATGAGCACTCCTCCTGCCCTCCTCCCAACCCTCTCGAGCAGGCACTGTTACCATTACACCCACTGTACACATGGGGCAGCTGAGGCGCAGAGTGCTTCAGTGATCCCACTGGGGCGTGGCTGTGCCCCAATCTGTGCCTTAAGAGGCAGCCAGGCTGGGCTCACCTGGCAGGCGGTCACTGTCTTGTTCCACAGCACCATCCTCTCGGGCTGCAGGATCACCTCCTGGTACACGAGCTCCGCAGGGCAGGGCAAGAAGGTCTGGGACAGGGCGGCAGAGGGCTGGGTGGTGCCAGATGGGCTCGGGCAGACCAATCCTTCCCTCTTGGTGGGCACCCACCAGAGGACCCCTCAGCCCCTTCCTAGAGCCTCCTGTGCTGTCTGGGGCTCCAGGACACCCGCTCCCCTCACTCACCTTCAGGATGAACGTCTTGCCGTGAAAGGGAACTTCAATGGTATACACGGTGTCCCCATATTCCTGTGGCAGGGACAGAAGGTGGCAGGGAGGAGAGTGGAGGCAGGGGGTGGGCTGGTGGCACAGAAATGGGCGACAGGCAGGGCAGGTTTTTAACAGCACAGGGTGGAAAACTCCAGGAGTCTGGGGCTACCTGAGCAGCTGTTACAAAACAGCAGCTCTAACAAACCTACAGCACTGGCGGGAGAGAGGCTTTTGATGCTGAGTTAAAAGACGGGGGCACAGCTGCCGCTGCAACCACGAAAAACCATGTCTCCAGGCCAATGGGGCTGCCACAGGAACTGGCCAGGGAGAGGGTCTGGGGCATGTTTCCCTCTGTTTTCCAAGCTCTCTACGATCTTTGTAGATAATGTTGTTTTGATCATGAAATGAAACAACGGACGCAGAGCAGAAGCCTGGCTTCCCCTTCAAAGCCTGGAGCCAAGGGGGCAGAACAGCAGGGAAGTAAAGACAGGGTGGTGCCGGGAAGACGGGGCCGAGGGGGGTGGGGGAAACGTCCAATCCAGTTCGGCCTCCTGCCGACCCGAGGGCCCAGCTCCCTCTCTTGGGGCAGGAATATGGCTCCAACCCATGTAATCCTTGGGTTTCCTCCTGAGGCCTCAGAAAAGGGAACAGGAACTCCTAACACGCATGGGAAGGTCAGGTGGGAGAGGGCTTCTTACATTATTCTTCTCAAACTTCCAGTTCTCTTCCTGGGCCAAGATCTGGTCCACCACTGCTGTGGCCTCCTTCCCCTGGCGGATGTACTCCCTCTCCTGGACAGAAGCAGAAGGCAGCGAGGGGTCAGCCTGGGGCCTACAACTCCCCATGTTCGTGGCCTGTTCTCTCTCTAGACATACCACATGCTTCCCAGAGGGGCCTGGCCCAGTCACATGTGGGGGATCTGGGCTAGTCTCCCTGGGCCCTGCAGGCCTGTGGCTGCTCCTCCTGTGCGCCCAACCATGAGGCAGACCTGGGGGGCTGGACTGGTGGAGGGGCATTCAGATGGGCATTGCCCGAGGTTCAGCCTCTACTGGGAAACCCCTGCCCACCCCGGCTGACCCCTGCACTGGCCCTCCTCCAGGCGCCCATTCCAAGGGCAGGGGTTGGGGATAGGCAGGCAAATACCTGAGCAGAGAAACTTTTCTTTCCAGCAACTTCTTCATCTGATTCATTGTCAGACCCTGCAGAAAACAGGCACAGATGACAATGGCAAGGGGTGGGGAGAGTGTGGGGAGGTAGTGGGGTTCGGGTATGTGAGTGCAAGGATGTGGGGGATAAAAGTGTGTGGGAGAGGGTTGTTGGCTTTCCCCAGGGAGCCTGATAGAAGGAATACAAAGAACAGACCCAGCCTACCCCATTCCTCACAAGGCCCCTCCCTGAAAGCAGTTCCCCCACACACCAGCCCTCACCTGCAAAGGATTCTGGGGGTGAATAGAACTGTCCCTCGGACAGAGCACCGGAGAACAGCAGGGGTCCACGGGCAACAGCAGCCTGGGCGGCAAGATACCCTGGAGGAGCAGACATGGGCCGCCACGGTCCCAGACTGAGCACAGTAACACCCTAGCAGCCTGGGGTACCAACAGCCAAGCTCCCCCTCAGGTTACTGGAGGCTGCTCAGAGGTGGCAAGATGCTTCAGACTGACTGTCATGCCCGCAACTCCCCTCCCTTGGGGCTGGGGCAACCCTCGCTGCACCCCCCTACCCATGAGCCCTCACATCGTTCCTCTTCGGCTTCCTGGGGTAGGACTTTGAAGTCAAGGAACCAGGTCTCCAACCAGGCGAGGACGAAGGAGACGATGGGGAGCAGGTAGCCAAATGCCCCTTTGCTGAGCAGCTGTGGAGGGAGGGGGCTGAGCTCCATGGCAGGGGTCACCCCAAACCCAGAGCCCTCTCCTGTGGCTACCAACTCTAGCCAGCCAAACTGGCATATACCCCATTCCTGGTACCAGCTGCTTGGGCACCCTCTCAAGTCTGCAGCAGGATAAACTGGGATTAGGCTGGAGGAATAACTTTCTGATTCTTGGAGCTTCACGGGGCTAAGTCAGGGAAGGATGATTCCTTAGAGATACCAAAGCACAGGATTCCCTCTCCCCCTAATCCGGACAACAGGGACAGACACCCCAAATTAGAGAAATGCTCCTCTCTAGAAGCATACCACTGAGGTCTGATGCCCACCAGACTGGCCAGACCCTGAGCCACTGACCTCAGAGAGGATGACCTTGACAATGAGGAATGCACTGGACACCAGCGTCGTGACCTGCCCAGGGGAGGGAAGGAGGAAGGGGAAGGCAGAGGCTGGGAAGTGAGTCCTCCTCCATCCCATCCCTTCCACCAGCCCTTCCAGGGCCCAGGAGCTTCCAGGGAAGTGGCATCTTACCGCAATCACCCACCAGTGCTGGAGCCGCAGCACAGCATAGCCCAGGAGCAGTCCAGAGAAGCGGAAGAAGGCCAGGACCTGGTGGGATGGGAGCCAGGCTATCACAGGAAGCTAATGCCCCCCACTGTGCTGCAGGCTGACCTCCCCTCTGGTCCTGCCCCCACATTCCCTCCCTATGGGCATGCACACCTCAGGGGACAACGACTGAGTCAGCATTTCTCTGGGACAATTTGGATGTAACCTTGGACAGGGGTCTTATCTTCCCTCTCCCACCTGGGGCTCTCTGACGGGGGCTTTGTGGAGGAAAGGTTATTTATTTATTTATTTTTTTGAGACAGAGTCTCACTCAATCTTGGCTCACTGCAACCTCCGCCTCCCAAGTTCAAGTGATTCTCCTGCCTCAGCCTCCCAAGTAACTGGGATTATAGGCGCGCACCACCACGCCCAGCTAATTTTTTGTATTTTTAGTAGAGATGGGGTTTCACCATGATGGCCAAGCTGGTTTCAAACTCCTAACCTCAAGTGATCCACCCACCCCGGACTCCCAAAGTGCTAGGATTACAGGCATGAGCCACCATGCCCGGCCTTGTGGAAAAAAGGTTTTAACGACTGATGGCTCCCAAAGGATGGGAGCTGAATCTCTGATCAGACTGGATATATGCTGCAGAAAGAGAACCCAGCGGAAGTCATTTCCCTGCTCCCTCTCTGCCTCCAGGGTCCCCGGGATCTCCCAAGGCCACTCACGAAGATGTCGAAGAAGGAAGTTTTGAAGTTGTACTGGATGATCTCCTGCTCCAAGTTCTTGCGGATGCCTGTGTTGGTCTGTGAGAGGGAGATAGGAAGAGCTCTGCAGGTAGAAGCAAGGGCCTGGGGCTGCCCCTCACCTCCCAGAAGTGGCAAGAGGTAGGGGAAGGAGGAACCTGGAGGGGAGGCTGTTAGTGCTAAGCCACCACCAGGGGGCCCCAGAAGCACCAAAGGAGCTCAGCCCAAGGCCAGAGACCTCAGACACCAATACCACTCCCCTAAGGATCCAGGCCGCCCTGATAGGCAGGGCTAGCTTCCAGCACCCTGCCCAGGAAGGGGCAGGCTGGGAGGCTTGGGGGCTGTGCAGGGGAGGCAATGCGCCCTACACAGGGCCAGCAGAAGGGCGCTGGAAGCCCACCTCTGACGGAATTCCATCTCCCTCCCGGCACTGCAGTGCTCCATCTTCCCAGCCATAATCCATCTGAGCTGATGGGGGCTGGGGGTGGGCAGTGGTGTCAGACAGAGCCTCAGGTAGCAAATCAATTGATTAGGTTTATGCTTAATGGGCAAAATCCATCATGCTGCTGGAGAGGGTGGAGACAGAGTGGATGTGTCCTTGCCTCTGTCCCTACCCCAGTCAGCCAGACATTTTCACCAGGACCCCTGAGGCCTTGGCCCCAACTCCAATGTCCAGAGGTCTGAGGGAACTGGACGGACAGCAGGCCAGACTCTGGCCTGACTCCTTGGAAGCACAGGGGTGACAGGCCTAGGCTTCTTCAGCCACCTTGGAGAAGAGAGGACACAGGGGGACTCTGGGCGATGGAGCCCAGGAACCCTGGAGAGGAAGACCCCTCACAACTGCCTAGACCGGGGCTTCTGCTCTCCAGCAGGGCAGCCAAATCTGGCAGGGGGAGGCTTGTTAAAGATGCAGATGCTCCCCCACTGAGCACACAGCCCCACCATGTGCCTCTCTACCTCAAGCCCACCCCAGCCCCACGAAATCTGATGCCGCCTCTCCTCTGGCTGCTGCTGAGGCCTCCAGGCCTGCCACCTACCCACCCCACCCAACCCACACCACCCAACACTCCTCTTGCTCCTCAGACTCTGTCATGGGCTCTGCAGCCCCTTCCACCCTCAGTCACTGGGCCTCAGAGCTCTGTCCTCCTTCCTCTTCTCTCCAGCCTGGGCACCCACTGGTGCTGACTGATCAGGACTCGGGACAGCCAAGTCTCAGCCCCTGCTTTGCCACTCTCTGGCTCCAAATCCCCTGCTCAGCACGACCCTACTGAGGTTCTTATAACCACTGGGCAACACAGACACAGTCTGTCAGCGAACTAAAAATATATATGCTCCCAAATATAAAACTAAAACTACAAGACTGAAAATCAATACAATATTAAATGTCTGCCAAGGGAAACATCATGCGCACTCTACTAATTGTTCAATGCAGGATTCTGAAATGTTTCATGACATCTGAAAACAATTAGTAAGTTAGACCTTCTCACTTTGCAATATTCCCAGGTATGCATGAGGACTGCAGAGCAATCGCAGCCAACACAGCCAAATAACTTCAAAGGCACAATTACAGAGGTCAGGCACAGTGGCTCATGCCTCTAATCCCAGCACTGTGAGAAGCCAAGATGGGAGGATCACTTGAGCCCAGCAGTTTGAGACCAGCTTGGGCAACATAGTGAGACTCCACCTCTACCAAAAAAAAAAATAGCTACACGTGGTGGTGCACCTGTGGTCCCAGCTACTGGGGAGGCTGAGGTGGGAGGAACCTTTGAACCTAGGAGTCGGAGGCTACAGTGAGCTGTGATCACACCACTGCACTCCAGCCTGGCCAACAGAGCGAGACCCTGTCTCAAAACAAAACAAAAAAAAACAAAAGTAAACTTATCAAAATCTTTTCAGCTCTTCTTGGGTAAGGAAACATGTATTCAATGAAGGATGCAGGTAAGTTTTAGTGTTTGCTTTGATGTCGGATGGGACCTTGAAAAGGAAGTCTGCCAAAGACCTCAGAAGCTCTGCAGAAGGCCCTGAGCCTGCTGGGCCACAGCTTTTTCATGGGTAAGATGGCCCCTAGGGCCATCCATGGCTGTGGCTCCAGCTCACTGAAGGTGCCAGCTCATCTCCAGGGCACAATGGACAGTCACCCTCAGAGCCCTGTCTCTCCCTCTAGCTCAACATGCCCAGCATCAAACTTATTTTCTTTGCCCCTTCTCCGAGCTCATCACCTCTATTAACAAGACATTGTTTTCTTGTCACATAAGCTTGAGACCTGGAGGAAGGGCCCTTGCCATTCAGAACTCTGATGGGGAGCCCACGCTGCAGAAGGAAAACAAGGGGAGGACTCATGGGGCCGAGTCCCTTGCTGAGGTCATCGGGTCAATTCCAAGGAGGAGCTGGGACAGAACTGAGCCTGGAGTGCCCAGCTTCCAGAGCTCCTGCTTCTGTGGGCTTGGTCCTGCCCGGAGACCAGATCAAGCCACTGCCAACTAGACTGTGTTCCCAAGGGTGGGCCAAGCACTATGTGGGGTGGGGGTGGGGCAGCTCTGGTCTCCAGGCTGCCCAGCAGCATCTTATTAGAGCCACTGGGAACTGGGAGTTTTTCCTGTTTTGCTTCCCACTCTGCCCTCTGCTTTTATTTATTTATTTATTTATTTATTTATTTATTTGAGTCTGGGCTCAAGCGATCCTCCCACCTCAGACTCCCAAACAGCTGGGACAACAGGTGTGCACACCACACCTGGCTAGCATCTGCTTTTAGCACAGTGCCTAGGACACAGCAGAAACTCAAACAATGTTTGCTGAATGAACGAATGAATGAATGAATGATTGAACAAACAAATGAATGAACCAACTGGAGCTGGAGGGCAGTGGAGCAGTGGGGCAGTGGCAGGCAGAAAGAAGACAAAGGTTTCAACAGATCAGCCAGAGCTAGGTCTCCCCCTCCTCCTCTCTCGGGAGCCTCCACTAGGGGGCAGTATGGGGCAGAGGCCAAGAGCATGAACTCTGGAGCCACAGGGTGGGTTCAAGGCCGTGGCCTTCACACATATGCATGCAGAGGGACCTTGGCCAAATGATGCAACCGCTCCGAACCCCTCCACAGCCCTTCATTCAGAATATGAGAACCCCTGTTGTTCCTCCCAGTCTTCATTTTACCCAGCTAATCAACCCCAGGGGAGAGGCAGCCCTCCCATGTGGCAGATGGACAAACTGAGGCCTGGGTGGCCTGCAACACAGCCTGTGCCCCAATCTCGCCTCCACTCACATTCAGTTCGATGATCCAGAGCAGGGAGATGAAGAGCAGGTCGAAGGTGACAAAGAGACAGAAGGTGCGGCGAACATCAGAGATGGCCCTGCGCTTCTCAGGTGGTGGAAGGAGGTGCGAGGAGAGGCTCTGGCTGTGGGACAGCGAGGAGCCCAGGGAGGCCACGGCAGGCAGGCTGCACTCCAAGTCTCGGGCCAGCTCCCCGGGCAGCTTGCTCATCCTGGTGGGCCCCCACCTCAGGGCGGGGAGGGCGGGGCCTCAGAGGCAGGGCTGGGAGAGATGCAAAGGCAGAGTCCAGTTAACCTCCTCCTGTCCCTCCCACACAGCCCCAAGGGTTGCCATTGGCTCCCAAATGCATTTGTCCCCACACTGAGTCCCAAGCCCACGGCCCAGGGCACTGTTGCCCAAACGTCCTCCACCAAACAGCCTGGCTCCTAGGTTGCAGGGCTGAGCATTCCGCTAATTATCTGTCCTTCCTGGTGCTCCCTGCCCCAAGCCCAGCAGCCACAGGGTTCACCCCTGGAGAGTTCTGGGGTCCCTCTGCTGGGTACCTACCCACTCCCGGATCCCTGGGACCGCAGCCTGCTCCTGCCAGGCCCAGCCCTGAGCTCCAGCCTCTGGTCCTGTCAACAGCCTCTGGGCCTGCCACCACCCCCAGGAGGAGAGGGCCCCAAGCTCTGTTCTTTGTTTTCCAAGCACAAAGCCACATTCCCTCCCAGCAGCCAATCTTCCCCTCCCACCCCCTAATCCATGGCAACTGGGAGGGCCTTCCTAGAGCAGTGTCTGTGTATCTGGAGCTATGGAGAGCAGGCATCTTGGTCCCTCTCAGCTCCACCGCCCCTTGCCCTGCCCAGGCCCAACCACCACCATCTCTTCCTGGACCACTGCAATCTGCTTCTCACGGGTGGGCCTCCAGGCTGCCTCTCTCATCCTCCTGCTCTTCACACAGCTGGCCTAGAGAACGCGTTCCAATGCCCTCCCAGGGTTCCCCACCCTTCTCAGGCTAACAGTCTCCTCCTCACCAGGCCCTCTCAGTCCAGGCCTGCGGGGTGGCCTCTGCCCAGCCCTTCTTCCTGTCTTGCTGCCACCGCCACTCTGGCCTTCTTTTACATCCCTCAATACAGCTGCCCTATCCTGCCTTGGGACCTTGGATCTGGCTCTCCCCATGCCTGGAATGTTCTCCCACAGACCTTTCAACAGGCAGCTCAAAAGTCCTCTTCTCAGAGAGCCTCCCACCCTCCTGCCCCCACTCACAGCATAACATAGTGAGCTGCCTTCCTTTCTTCACTGAGCTGGGTCACTAACTGAAATGATCTTTATTGTTTTCACTGTTTCCCCTTTTCTCACTAGACTGGAAACTCCACGGCCTCAGGGGCTTTATCTGACATGGTCACTGCTGTCTCCCTGGTGCCCAGCACAATGCCTGTCAGGCAATAGGTGCTTCCTGATTGTTGAATGAATGAATGCTCAGTGGGTCTCCTGGCCCTCAGCTCCATGCTACACAGCAGACAGCAACAGGGCAAACCCTAAAGAGAGGAGGAAGCAGCCACTCTGGAGGCCAGCCCGATGCTCTACCACCCCCCGCCCCATGTCCACTCAGGGCAGGATGGTTCTTCTTTTACAGATATGACAACCAAGGCCCAGAGAGGTGAATGGACTTACCCAATCCCTTACCATCCTGTGCCAACATCGGGCTCTCAGGAACCCTAAAGACAAAAGGAACTCTGGCACTCCCTCCCTGCAGGTAGCCCCCAGGCCTAGGGTCTCTGCTTCACCCATGTGCTGGGCTCTAAGAGGCCCCACCCCTTGGGTGAGAAGGAAAGGTCCCATTGAAAGTCAGAGAGGAGCTGAAGCAGGGACGCAAAAACTCACCAGCTTGGTGGGGCCTGAGCTTCTGGGACTTGACCAAGAGGCTCCCTGAGTCTCCCCCACACCCCAGCACCAGGGGGCAGTTTGGGGGCTAGAGGAAGGGGAGCTCTAGATGTTTGTCCCTGATCTTGGGAAAGCAAGATCTAAGCACTCTCCCCTCCTGACACGTCCCACCACACTTTCGCTATGTGGACTACCTTCCTGGGCCCCTCAGTCTACCACGTCCAAAACAAGCACAGCTGGCAGGAGGTTCTGAGCAAGCCAGCTCATCCATCCCTCTGCCCCGTGCAAGCCCCCACGAACAGGAACTGACTGTTCACAGCAGAGTCGGGGGACAGGCAAGGCAGAGGCACCAGGCCAAGGCTACTCCCAACACCACACTCTGAGCCCCAGGACAGGTTCATCTCCACAGTGCCACGGAGAAGCTGGGCTCAGCTCCGGAAAGAGGCAGTGGGGAGCGGATGTGACAGGCCGCTGGCAATGGGACCCTCAACATCCGTCAGCCAGATCTGTGCCCGACTGCACGCTCGGCACATCCCTCATGGTGACAGGATGCAGCTCCAGGGCAGGTGACATTTCCCTGTCTCTGACAGCCCTTTTGTTTGCAGCCAGACCTGTCTCCCTTCCTCACTCTCTCCATCTCTCCTCATCTTTTGTATCTGTTTCACAAAGTAACTTTCCATCTGTGTGGGGTTTTGTTTGTTTTTTTAGAGGCAGGGTCTTGCTCTGTCAACCAGGCTGGAGTGCAGTGGCACGATCATGGCTCACTGCAGCCTTCAACTCCTGAGCTCAAGTGATCCTCCTGCCTCAGCCTCCCAAGTAGCTGAGACCACAGGCGCCCGCCACCACACCAGGCTAATTCATTTTATTTTATTTTTTTTAGAGACGGGGGTCTCACTATGTTACCCAGGCTGGTCTCAAACTCCTGGGCTCAAGGATCCTACTGTTTTGGCTTCCCATGGTGTTGGGATTACAGGCGTGAGTCACTGCGCCTGGCCTATATTTCTTGTAAGTATCTTTTTACCTGTCTCCCTCTCCCTCTCCCATGTCTGTCATTTCGGGTTTGTTTGAAATGATGGACATTTATCATCTCCCAGTTCAGGAGGCTGGAAGTCTGAGAAAGGTGTTGGGAGGGCCGTACTCCCTCTGACCCCTTCCTTGCCTCTTCCTGGCTCCTGGCGGTATGTGAGCAATCTGTGC